GGGGAATCCCTGCAGGGAGCCATGAGTGACAGTCACAGCTCTCTGCAGGGATAGATCGAGAAGAGCGACGGTATGTGTTCTCTCACTTCCCGATCTATTGAGCTGAAATGTGACAGTTTCATTGTCACAGGTCGGCTACAACTATGAGGCTGAGTGATTTTCACTCGCCTCCATAGTTCTCCTTTAATTTTCCCTCGAAGACCCGAGATCTTTCCACCGTCCCCTGATGGGTGGTACTACCCACTTTGGGAACCCCTGGGTTTCTTTAAGAGCAGTCGTGCCCCTGGCTGCCCTCCTCTGCTTTGGAACCTTTGCTGTATATTCTATCTCTGTATGTTGAGTGTGACCCCATATGACCTCCTCTTCTGTCTGCTATAGCCATTCTCTGTTTCTCTTTTAGCTACAGGCTGCTGTGGAAAGTGTTGGGGCAAAAAAATAATTCATTGAGCTGAATGCTGTGCTGGCCTCCTTGCTCTGATTTTCATGGTGGGGATTGCTTTTTCTTGGAGACCCCCTGCACTGGCACTCCTGCAGATTAGATCCTGAAAAGTGTCGCTCAGTATTGGGGCTCTGGTGAGGCACGTTGTGGGTGGAGCTCCTGAAATGACATTGTGTCTGTCTTCTCATCTTCCATTCCTTTTTTCTTTCATCATCTTTCTTGCCATTTCTTCTGTAACCTTAAGAGGATCTTTTCACCAGCGTGATTTAATTGCTTGCACAGTAAGTTGATGCATTTCCTTTTCCCTTTGTGAAATAGCTTGTGCTTTGTTTAAAGGGTCAGTCCACCAAAGGCTTATGTTTGAGTCTGCACACCTGCTGTGGCCATTATGAGGGTTTTGGGATGAAGAAGGAAAAATTAGCATCATAAATTGGCAAAGGGTGGGGAAGACCCAAAGGTCCCCAGGTGGGCGAGAAAACCCAAAGGTCCCAGGTGGGTGGGGAAGACCCAAAGGTCCCCAGGTGGGCGAGAAAACCCAAAGGTCCCAGGAGGGTGGGTAAGACCTAAAGATGTCCCAGGCGGGTGGGGAAGACCTAAAGGTGTCCCAGGCGGGTGGGGAAGACCGAAAGGTGTCCCAGGCGGGTGGGGAAGACCTATATGACACCTTATGACTGCCGTGGCAGTCATAAGGTATCACCTTAGGAGTCCTATAAAAAATTTAAAAGATCAGTAGAAATTATTTCTAAAAATCTCAAAAATGCAAACTTTTTTTGAGGTGGACTGACCCTTAAAAACATACAGCCTCATGCAGGAAGAGCCTTCTTGTTACTCACGGTACATACAAATGGTTTTTAGGGGTAACCAGAATGCTTTTGCTGAAAACAATGGTGCTCAATTCAGTTTCTCTGCAGAATTTAAACATCCGTCATTCCCATTGGCTCCTCCTCTTCCTATCTCAGTCATCACCAAATATATTAAACCGTACATCTCTTGTCACTCTCTACATTTGGCTTATCTGTGCCTCCCCTCTCCAGACACTAGATAGAAAGCAATATGATCAGCATTAGGAGAAGACCTGGGGAACATTGGACATATTTACAGCATAGTGCTGCAAGTGTATGTGATTTATGTGTGCCATAGTAAGCACTAATTGCCTGAAACAAAAATGAACGGTGTTGTTGGCCTGTATTGTCCTGGCATCTAGTTTTTATGCCCATTCCCCTGGCATCTATTAGTTTTTGTGCCTGAGTTCCCCAGCACCTATGTGTTTTTTTTGTGCCGTATTCTCCTGTCATCTAGTGGTTTTTATTCCCCTGGCATCTAGTGGTTTCTGTGCCCATATTCCCCTGGCATCTAGTGGTTTCTGTGCCCATATTCCCCTGGCATCTAGTGGTTTCTGTGCCCATATTCCCCTGGCATCTAGTGGTTTCTGTGCCCACATTGCCCTGGCATGTACCGGTATCTGTGCCTACATTGCCCTGGCATGTACCGGTATTTAATTTTTTGTTCACGTTGCCCCGGCATGTACCGGTATTTAATTTTTTGTTCACGTTGCCCCGGCATGTATTGATTTTAGTGCCCACATTGCCCTGGCATTGCTCTTTCTTTGCAACTCCTCCTTTTTTTTTTAAATCCTCTTATTGTTTTTAAGACCGATCACATGAGAAGACTCCGATAGATTTCCATAGGCCAAGAAAAATAAATTGTTAGAACTGTAACTCGCTCACCAAATTTACAGCATGAAGCCTTCCCTCTTATTCCATCCATATACAATCAAATACAAAAGCTTCAGTTTATCCAATCCTCCACCATATATTGGTCATTGAACCTGATCCCATGAATAAGGTGTAATAGAAAAGGGATAAACCCCTCCATGGGCACCGATAGAGGATACAGAGAAGCAGTATTGAGCATCACTGCTATACGGCACTCTTCATACATAAGGCTGCTTGTGCTGAGATCCTTCTAACCCCCGGCAGCTGTCCCAAGTGCTGCGATTCATCAATGTAGTGCAAGTTGTGATAATGAAATGATGACTTGTTAATGTTCCTGTTCATTGCTGTTGTTGTCTCTGTGTTGTGTTTAATCTGCTGGTACAATCAGCACTGACGCTCCTCCAAAACTGAAAACATAGTCTTGGGTTCTCTGCATTCATTAAACGTCAGTTCACACGCTGTGACCCAGAGCAGCAGATATTTTATTTATTTATTTATTACAGGTATTCATATAGCGCCGACAATTTACGCAGCACTTTACATATTGCACATTCACATCAGTCCCTACCCTCAAGGAAAAAAATAGTATCCAGAAGCGCCAGAGGCAGTCATCCCTTATCCCTCATAAGGAAAAAGTCCTGAGCATAGGTGCAGGATGCAGCCCCAATACTGTGAGGGTGACTGAGACATCTACAAGAAAACACAGAGAGGGGCGCCTTTCCTAGTTCGCCTTTCCTAGCACAGATTAGTTTATTCAACAATAATAAAAGAAGACAAGCTGGCAGGTACTCACAAGGGTGGAATAACAACAAGCTGTAGGACAGTAAAAAACCGGAGCAATCCGTATGATAAATCCTGTATGCAGATCAGTGAGGTGTCTACGCAATTCCGGGGCACTCCCCCTTCATCAGAACGTAATTCAAGTCTCCGCGTCGGCTAAAAAGGGGCAGTGAAGACCTGATTGGCCAATGCTCTAAGCAGCTGATAGGATATCAGCCTGGGTGTGGCCTGCCCATTATCACACCCACTATAGGCTGATATCCTATCAGCTGCTTAGAGCATTAGCCAATCGGGTCTTCACTGCCCCTTTTTAGCCGACGTGGAGCGGAGACTTGAATTACGTTCTGATGAAGGGGGGGTGCCCCGGAAACGCGTCGACACCTCACTGATCTGCATACAGGACTTATCATACGGATTGCTTCGGGTTTTTACTGTCCTACAGCTTGTTTCTATTCCACCCTTGTGAGTACCTGCCAGCTTGTCTTCTTTTATTATTGTTGAATAAACCAATCTGCACTAGGAAAGGCGCCCCTCTCTTTGTGTTTCCTACCCTCAAGGAGCTCACAATCTAAGGTCCCTATCTCACATACACACATACAGGGCCAACTTAGAGAGGAGCCAATGAACCTTCCAGCATGTCTTTGGAGTGTGGGAGGAAACCCACCCAAGCACAGGCAGGACATGCAAACTCCTTGCAGATAGTGACCTGGCTGGGATTCGAACCAGGGACCCCCAGTGCTGCAAGGCAGAAGCCAGCCATATACTTGGGAGATTTAACCTGCGATTGCCCATGAAGGGAATAGGAGCATGTTTTTAAAGGAGAACTATGGGGTAAGTGTTTTTCCTCATAGTTCTCCTCAGGGTCACAGGAGGACCCCAACTAACGTCCTCCCGTGACCCAAAGCTCAGTATATTGCGATATATGATATATTGACATTTATCATATATTTGAAGATGCACGGCGCCATCCGTGGTTACTACAGCACCCTCCTTTATACATAGGGGCTTCTGGTAAGGAGTGCAGCAGTTTCTCTCCAAGGTCATTCTCACTTAACGCAGCGGTTGGACAAGTGGGCTAAGGTAAGTATAAACCCCAAATTGTATTCTTTACAGGTACATTTTACACCCACTGATAGGTGATTTGTGAGGGGGGGCGGGGTCCCGGACAGTGTAAGCGGACCTTTCATTGTGTATGTAAATGACTTGTAGCTACAATTCTGGTCATATTTTGGGTGAATTTAGTCTGTAACGGGGTAGTCAAGCTTTGACCCTCCAGCGGTGGTGAAACTACAAGTCCCATAAGGCTTTGCAAGACTCAAACAGCCACAGACATGACTTGAGGCTTGAAGGGATTTGTAGATTCGGCACAGTTGGGGTGCTGACGCTTGCTCTATAAAACGGGAAGTCCATTCGTCCCATTGTAGGGTACTTCACGCAGCCTCTCCTGAGCCTAAAATACTTGGGCAAGTGAAGCATGATTATAATGCAATGTGGTTTTCTTTCCCCTCTGGGCATGCGTCCACATTTTGCTGATCTGTACACACAGTAATGGGCTCTTGTAGACGGGAGTTGTGTTCTTGAGCTGGACATGCTTTTGGAACGCACGTCAAACGCATTGCATTAGAATAGCAAGCGCAGCGTTTGAAAAGAACGCACTTGGACATGAGACCTAAAGCCGCTGTGTATGGATAAGGAAATGACTGTGTATATGAGAGATGCTACAACCTTATAGTGTCCTTCAATGGGGTTACTGGACAGGAAGTAAAGTGTGCATGCCATATTCTCACTTTCTGGTGCATCTGATTATATATTGAGAAATCTTGTATATAAACAAACTTTAAAAGACAAGCTGCCCCCAAAAACGGATATTTCACTTCTAGATGGCGTCTGCTGGGCCTCATTAACCTTTTGTGGGTCCCTCATTATTGGGAGAGTCCAGCGGCCTTCTCTCCTCTCCCGGCGGTGTCTCGCGCTGGAGAGTTTTTAGTTCCCAATAACTGAAATAAGCAGTTTTGTGGTGGAGCGCTCCTTTATTTGCAGCCATACTAACCTTTCCTCCCTTGCAGGCGGACTCTTTCACAAAGGCGCAAAGCTGTTTTTCCGCCGGAGGCACCAGCAAAAGGACCCCAGCATGAGCCAATCCCACAACGACCTGGTCTACCTGGAGCAACCGGGGGCCCCGGAGCACCGCAAAAGAGGCGCCACGCTGTCCCGCCTCCTGAACAGGAAGCTCCTCCCGAAAACCAAACACAAAAACAAACTGCAGAGCAGGCCAGCCGAGGCGGAGCAGGAATGACGAGCCCGCGCGGGGGGTCTCGGAGCGGACAAGCGCCTCCCCGCCGGCGGAGGGTTCTGGCGTGAGGGGGCAGCGCGGAGAATCTCCTCTCGCAACGTGAATCCGGTTTGCTTCTTCTAGCTCAACACTGTGAGATGTTTGAGGAGCCTGCACAAGAGACAAAATGGCCGCCTCATGTGTGTGCGTGTATGGGTGTGTGAGGGAGGCCGGTTTACTTTTAAAGAGGCTGACGCAAAGCAAAACTCCTGTGTGATAAAAGGGTTCGATGGAAGCAGCCATGTCCAGGTTTGTCTATATGCACAGACCCCCTGGTGGGCAGCGCACTTGCTTGACAGGTCCTGGGTTCAAACCCCACCATGATGCTTACTGCATGGAGTGTGTAGTACCCTCTGGGCCTTCCAGTTTTTGTTTTTTTAAACCCAACCCCAGGCGGTCTTTATATATATTTTGTTTGGATAAAGCAGGAGTATGCAAACTGCAGCCCTCCAGCTGTGGTGAAACTACAAATCCCATAATGCACCTGCCTCAGAGTCATGGCTGTGAGTCTTGCAATGCCTCATGGGATTTTTAGTTCCACAACAGCTGGAGGGGTCCGGAGTTGGCCTACTCCTGGGTCAGAGCCTCTGTCACATTTTATAGCGATCTGATTGCCTATGGGGAGATCTAACCTCACTTCCTGTCAGGACAGGAAGTGGCAGGGAAGTTCTGCAATGGGGAAAAGTACCAAAAAAAACCGCACACTTAGTAAATTGTAGAAGTGATGGAACTTCTGTGCCTTCCTCTTCCCTGGGATGACCCCCATTTTTTGTAAGGGCGTCACGCTGGGCAGGACAGGAATTTACATTCTTCTACACTTTATCCAAATCCTGAAATGTTTTGGCTGGTGTTGGGATCTTAATTGAACTCCAGCCATTTTTTTAATTTTCATTTTGGATAGAGCAGAGGAGTCTCAGTCAGGTTTTCATTGCCATCTCTGTCACAGTTGGGGAAAATTCCCCTCACTTCCTGTCAGGACAGGAAGCGATGGGCAATATCTCCAATGGGGATGCAAACAAACACACAATTTTAGTATAGTGAGGAAGGCTCGGTACATCTAACGATGGATTTAATTGCAGTCTGTAGCTTCCTGTCCAGGTGATAAACCCACCCCTATTAATTATCATGGTGTCACTGGGACAGGAAGTGGGGGGAAATCTCAGACACAAATGTTCTCTCTTACTCTATCCACATATAAAATAATGGCTGTTGTTGGGAATAAAGCTGAGCTCCAGGTACACAAACTTGTATTTTACTGTATTTCTCAATGCCAACAAAAGAATAAAAACTCACTTTGTTTGCACCCAGATATTACCTTCTAAAGATAGCAGTGACATCATCACTGTGCTGGACATAGGCTCTGCTCTCTGCGCAGGCTAGCAAGCCCCACCCATTACAAGCTGCCTGCAGAAAACTACCCGTGGGGGCGGAGACGAGATCAGTCACCCTGCACAAAGAGGGAGAGCAGCAGTGAGCGGTCTTTATTACAAGAAGGAGCAGAGACAGACCAGGTACCCTGCACAAGAAGAGGCAGCAGTGCCAGGTCTTTATTACTAGAGGGGGCGGAGACAAGACCAGTCATCCAGCACAAAGAGAGAGCAGCAGTGCCAGGTCTTTATTACAAGAGGGGGCGGAGACAAGACCAGTCGCCAAGCACAAAGAGACAGCAGCAGTGCCAGGTCTTTAATACCAGAGGGGGGCAGAAACAGACCAGGTACCCTGCACAAGAATAGAGCAACAGTGCTTGATCTTTATTACAGGAGGGGGTGGAGACAAGACCAGTCACCCTGCACAAGGAGAGAGAGAGCGAGAGCAGCAGTGAGCGGTCTTTATTACGGGAAGTCTCGCGTTGGATTACTGCACAGATCTAGAAGAAATACACAAAGCTCACCGAGATTCATCGAGAAATCCGCATGGACCTTGTATTTAGATAATATTTGCTTATCCCGGAGTTCAGCTTTATATGACCTTCGACCTGATTGCCTCCAAGGTGTGCACTTAAAATGTAAGCTCCTCGGCGGGCAGACATTGATCCCAGTGGTTCTGTGTGAAGACATAAATATAAGGCAGGAAGCGGCTGCTACTTTCGGAGCCTTACCACACAGGTGTTTTGCTTTGTGACAGGTTTCCTTTAAGCCGTAGGAGAAGTGTTTGCATTGAGCAGAGCGCTGTGAGAATGGTGGACTCATCAGCACAGACTAATAGCAATATGTTCTTTCATCCGCTCTTACACCCCTGAGATCTTGTTATCCACGGTGCCTCTGGGCCGCGGTTCTGTTCCTGGCAGAAGAACAGCCATCGGTGCATATCATGCATGAGGGGGAAACAGCAGGCCATTGGAAAACACTAATGATGCATTATTAATATTATTTTGGGCATATAAAGAACTTTATTGACAGATTTCTGCAGCGTACGGTGAACTACATGCAAGGTTTGCTTTCCAGTCATTCATTCAGGTTTGTACAGAGCAACCAATCAGAGTTCAGTCCCTAGATGTCAGATTGGTTGCTATGGGATACCACACATTGAATATTCCATGGCACCTCTTTTTTTGGCTAACTTACAGACTATTAATAATCACATGTTATCACTAAATATTATGAACTATGTAAAGTGGAGGACACGTGCAGCAAATGGCCCCTGTGCATGAACATTTTTCTCTCCCTTCCCAATTCAATTAGCGGGATCGGTTAGGACAGAGATCCCCAAATTTTCACCTAGAGGGTCGGTTATGGTCTCTCAGACTTTAGGGGGACCAGACTGTGGGCTAGTGGAAAGAGACATTGCCCTGATGTCTGTAAACAATGCCTCGGGTTTGGTGGACAGTGGGAGTAGTAAAAATGCCTAGCATCGGTGGTCAGTGGGAGGAAGAATAGTGCCCCATGCTTGGTGTCAGTGGATGGTGGTCCATTCTTGGGTCAATGGAAGAAGGAATGGTGGTCCATTGTTGGATCAGTGGAAGAAGGAATGGTGGTCCATTGTTGGGTCAGTGGAAGAAGGAATGGTGGTCCATGGTTGGAGTCAGTGGAAGAAGGAATGGTGGTTCATGGTTGGAGTCAGTGGAAGGAGGAATGGTGCTTCATGGTTGGAGTCAGTGGAAGAAGGAATGGTGGTCCATGGTTGGTGTCAGTGGAAGAAGGAATGGTGGTCCATGGTTGGAGTCAGTGGAAGAAGGAATGGTGGTCCATGGTTGGAGTCAGTGGAAGAAGGAATGGTGCCCCATGGTTGGAGTCAGTGGAAGAAGGAATGGTGCCCCATGGTTGGAGTCAATGGAAGAAGGACTGGGAATGGTGCCCCATGGGTGGAGTCAGTGGAAGAAGGAATGGTGGTCCATGGTTGGTGTCAGTGGAAGAAGGAATGGTGGTCCATGGTTGGAGTCAGTGGAAGAAGGAATGGTGGTCCATGGTTGGAGTCAGTGGAAGAAGGAATGGTGGTCCATGGTTGGAGTCAGTGGAAGAAGGAATGGTGCCCCATGGTTGGAGTCAGTGGAAGAAGGAATGGTGCCCCATGGTTGGAGTCAATGGAAGAAGGAATGGGAATGGTGCCCCATGGGTGGAGTCAGTGGAAGAAGGAATGGTGCCCCATGGTTGGAGTCAGTGGGAGGAGAAATGGTGCCCCATGGTTGAAGTCAGTGGGAAGAATAGTGCCTCATCATTGGTGTCAGTGGGAGGAATAATGTCCCATGATTGGTGCCAGTGGCGGGAATAATGTCCCATCATTGGAATAGTACCTTGAGGGAATAAAGGCAAGTTTGGGGACCACTGGGTTAGGGCATCATAAATAATACCTCCCGCTTCTTACCTACCCTACAAGTGAGCCTCGTCCAGGTCTACATGACAGAGCTCGGGGGTACCAGTACCAGCATTCTCCTTTGTGTAAATGGGCCCCTAATTCCCAGAGGACCCTTGTGCAGTTCCTCACCAGATGCTGCGTCCACCCCTGACATCGCCTGTACATGTATAACAAGAATGCATAAACTATGTAATCTCATGTGTACTGAAAATGGAGGCCAGACATACCTCTCACTCTGAAAAGCCTCAGTGTCATGCTGGTCCTCAGACTTTTAAAACACACATATACAGCCAGAATTTCTGGTCTGCATACCACCCAGGTCAGTTAGGCGGTAGGGTCGGCATTGCCATAGAAGTCAACTGAGATAGGGCACGGATGGGACAGAGTGGCTGCTATGGGCATTTTTGGGCATTCTGGCACACAATGTCCTGTATTAATGATGGTATTTCTTTCATTGTAGTATTTGGGTCATCGCAGTGTTGGCAAAACATAGCACAAAACCAAGTATATTATCACTCTCAGTATTGCACATTTTCTATACTATGCAAGCATTTGGCTTCATATACGGGAACAGGAAAGGGACTCAGTCAGTAAGCTGTGGTAGGTCCCCCCCGTGACTGCCAATCAGATCTCATTTTACTGTAGTCAGATCAGTAACATTATTCATTCTGATTCTGCGTCTAACCATGTACCTCATATTTCAATTACTACGGGAAGGGCGGAGCCAGTGGCCATAACAAGCCTGACACCGGCCATCACGATTTAAAGTGTGTGAAGAATTTTGCTCTTGCCGATAGCATCCAGCTCATTTCCTAACGACGACCATAAATCTGTGGCTGCAAAAAAAAACAAAAAACATTTATCATATACATTTTTGATTGGATTCATAAAAAGCGTATCTGAAGCCCCAACTTTTGTTTTGTATGGAGTAGCGGGGAGTCATGTCAGGTTTTTATTGCTGTCTCCCCTTTAAGAAGATTGACCAACTCCTTTTTTCTGGTAACCGTTGTCACTTGGAAGTAATGCGACGAGTTGTCACCAGTGCAGGAGAAGAGGGGAAACCTTTGAATAGGAAGTTAGGAACACTTGATTAGGGGAATTTTTCTTTTGTGTCTACAGGACAGGAAGTGAAGCTAAATCTCACAAATGGGACACAAATGGCGTACAAAAAC